CAAAAAATTCGAGCCTTTCCTTACACCTGATGGTACTGTGATACTGATCAACTTCTCACTGAACCATTCATGTGATTCTTACCAAACAACAAGTCACCCCTACAAGATTCTGTTTTTCTTTACTACACATTCGTATAAGAAGGTGCGAACAATTTCCCAATGAATTGACTGGTTTTGCGCATGTCAATTACATTGATGTCCTAAGTGGTACTCTGAATCCAGATTATTTGATTGGTATGTTATATTAGTTAATGCTATTTATATTACTACATCTGATTTATGTTACTATGTGAATCTTTAATAATTTTTCTGGTTTTATTTACTTCAGATGTCATTGGAAAAATTGTAGAAGTGACACACCTTGAAGTTATCCAGTCAATGGAAAATATACACCCAAGCTCACGTGTGACTACGCAATTCATAATAAATATATAAAATGTTTTCCTTTCCATCCTTTCAATTTAAAACTCTTGATCTTGATTAAAAAACTTTGTTTATATCAGGAATGTTCGTCTTCCTATTGTTTTATGGGGTCTATTTGCTAACAATGTCAACCACACTGTTCAAAGTCATCGTGAGGAATCTTTGATAATTGTGTTAAGGTTTGCAAAGATTAAAATCTGGAAAGGTACTCTATAACATGACTACGTAATTTTTCGTTGGTAAAATATTTTTATGTATCATTTATATCCATAATAACCATTGATCATATGTGTAGTGGATCGCAGTGTCTCCAATGCCTACAGTGTATCTGTTGTAACTGTGAATCTTTAAATGCTTGCGGTTGAGAGTTTTGATTCTCTGTAAGTTTAATTCAGAAAAACTGTTTATGATTTACATTTATATTCATTTTCCATCTAAACCATTTTGTTTCATTTTTAGGTTGCCCAAAGATGATCTTCCATTAGCAATTGTGGATGAAAACCCACTTGCTTTTGGTCAATGGCATGTCTGACAAGGATGATTTCTTTGTTCACACACAAAGAAAGACAATTTGTGAAGTATTGGAATCTTAGCAGGTTTACATCTCAGAATTGGTTATATTGTAATATAACTTTTTACTGCACAATAATCTTTGTGGTTTCTAAACTTTTCAGAGTCATTTGTACGATTTTGATGGCCTCATTTGAATGGAATCCTGCGAATGATAGAAGATTTCATTAGTTATGAGCTAATAATATTTTTTCTAAAATAGTACATAGATACTTTCTAATAAATATGCTTACATCGATTTGAAAGCTTTTGTTTTTGGGATATCAAGGTCAAAAAAGAATCGAGACCACCCTTGTAATATTTGATAAAGTCACCTAGTTCAAAAAATCAAATGTTTGTGTTTATTAATTGTAAAAAGTTAAACAATACCCAAACAAATAGTAAAAAAAAAGTGGTTTATATAAATTAACCTTCTCATTCAATTTTCCAAAACTGTAAAACACAAATGACAATCTGCTTTACAGTAGACCACCATAAATTATGTAACTTCTCTGCATGGTCTCCATATGCAATACACTTTATTTCATCTTCCCTAAAAAGATATCAAATTTATTTAATTGTACTTTGAAAATAGAATTGTTAATAGTCTCTAGGAAAAAATATAAGTACTTCAGCAAGTTACTCACTTAATATTCTTTAAACAGAACTGAATTCTCCTGTTTTTTTTTTCACTATAGATCTTGTCATATGGATCCTCTTCAATAACTTCAAGATTACCAACACTAACTAAAGCTCTATAGAGATCTTTGTGAGATATAAAACACAGTTTAATAGGATTATCAGGAATCATAAGATAAATTATGAGCAAATAAGAATAAACAGATAAATATTTAGAAAACCTAGCCAATTTTTTTTTTAAAAATAAGTGAACCCACCAACAAAGTACAATGAAATTTCAGCCAAGTTGTTTTCTTTTTTTTTTATTTGTTTTAATAAGTGTATGATGAGGGCATCCTAATCTGCTTTTATTTATCAATTTGTGTTATTACTTAAAACTTATGGTTAAGTTTTCTTTATCTATTTTTCACAATAATTTATGCTAAAATCTAATTAATTTTTTAAATATAATAATTTCCCAAAACAAATTTATAAAAAAATAATATAAATCTCATCCCGCACGAGACGCAGATTATTACCTATTATTTAATTAATATATATTTCCAAAACCAAACAAGGTCAATGAATCTGTTTCCTACTATCTTTATAACCAACAAGTTTACAACAAGAGATTATGAAAAAAGAACCATAAATTGAAAAACATCATCATTAATCGGTAGTTGTAATGAAGATTTCAGACCATGTCCATCAGGGTATGTAAACCCATTTTGAGCCCAAAAACCTAGGCCAAACGGATTTCTAAAAAGGCTTTTTCCAATGGACACGTATGTTAAATAAGAGACTTAACAACCCGTCTCTTACGGGACGCGGCAGTAGGGGATTGGTTGAATTATTTGGGATGTTAATTGGATTTTGGAAAATTTTAATCGGGTATTCCGTTATTTTTTTGCAGACCAAACTTTCTCTCTTCTTCGGCGATTTGAGAACGTCCGCAATTTTGACTCGAAGTTCGTCGATTTCGGCGTGGATTTAGGTCAAAAATCTCTCCTCAACACATCCACCGATTGCTCAAGGTTAGTACGAACACATCCATCGATTAATTTTCTTGGTTTGAACAAGGGGGAAGAAATTAGGGTTTTGTCGATTTGGGGAAAACGTTTTGCATGTTTTTAGCGATTGAAATTAGGGAATTTTTGGGTCCAAATAGGTGTGTGGGTGTGTTATTTGCAATGATTCAAGGTGATTGATTGGTTTTTGTGTTTGATTTGTGTATTTGATTAGTTTTTCGTCGATTTAGGGAAAACATTTTGCATGTTGGTAGCGGTTGAAATTAGGGATTTCTGGGTCCAAATAGGTGTGTGGGTGTTTTATTTGCAATGAGTCAAATTGATTGATAGGTTATGTTTGATTCAAGCCGTTTTATGTGTAGTTGCGATTGTTTGATCTCAAATTTGCTCTCGAATCATATCGCATTATTTGATCTCGAATTTGGCAAATTATAGTTGCGATTGTTTCTTGTCATTGTTGGTTCCTGTATTTGATACCTTCTATGGGTGATGATTCAAACCATGTATCTGTGATCGTGGTTTAGGGTTGGAATAACATTATGCTCTATGATTTCGAGACTCTTTTTGTGTAATATGAATATTGCTAAGTTTGTTTCAATTATCGTTTTGTTAATACCTTGCTAAGTTAAGTTATGAATCACATTGTTTAAGCTTCTCGTTGTTTACATTGTTTTCTGATTATCGTCCTATCACTTTCATGAATGAGTTAAGTTTTGAATGAGATGGTTGTCGTTGTATGGTTCGTGTGAATAGAAAGAGTGATTGTGTGAATGTGTTCATCGATCATTTATGCTAGTTGTGTTAGATATTGATAAGTTTTGTTTCACTGTTTTCATGTGTGAATTACTAAAGTTATAAGTTTGTTTTAAGTTTGGGTTTATGTTGTTTATATTGTTTTCTGATTATTTTCATATCACTTTGATGACAGGGAATGCCGAGTCTCCCAAGCGACACCTCATCCGAACCAGAAATGGACCTTGGCTGGGCATATGTGGATGCCACGTATGGCATCACAGAGAAATGCTTCTGCGGTCGAGCCCTGAAACTGGAGACAATGACCGGTCCAGGAATTGTGTTTCCAGACTGCAAGTATTATACTTGTCCGAACTGGCTCAAAGAGGTAAGCCGACCAAGTCTTTATGGAATTTTTACTTGCTCCTTATAATGATTTGTATTATTACTTATGTTATTTCACTTGCTTTCTGATAAGGGTAATGGCGAGCATCATAGGTGGCAGTGGTGGGATGAGACGGTCACCGAGCAGATCGAGATCGTGGAGAGGAGGCTTCAAGAACAGAAGGAGAAGCTCTGTAGGATGGACAGACGTGCAGCCTTTTATCCAACCATTGGAGAGTTAAATGCATGGGTCAGAGTGTTGCAAGCGGAAGTCTCAAGACTGAAGGAACAGAATAAACAAGGTGAAGTATTTGTGATGTTGTTTTTTATTTTTGTTATTGCAGTCATTTCGTATTTGTTTAAGTAGCATCACTGAGTAGCATCGATTATCTGGTTTGTTTTACTAAGTATTTGTCCCTAAGTGGAGTTAACTATGACAACAATGTTCGCTTTTCATTATTTAAGTTATTAGGAGGAATATTTTGTATTGTTGTCTTCTGAATATTATGTTGAATCTATTATGTTAAGTACTCTTTTACTTGTCCGTTGATGGTTTGTTTCAAACTTGGTTAGGTGACATGGTAGTTCGTGTATTTTTTGTTTAGAGAGTTTATTCATATAGCTTATTGATAACTGCTCGCTTAGGGAAATAGCTTATATGCTTTTTTATGTGAGGGTAAATGGTGGACCAATCGATAGAGCAATATAAAGGCTACCAAAGATTATGGTTCATCAATCTGTGAAGGTTAGTCAATTTGTTCCTCTTTCGTTATCATTAGTAGTTAGTCGAAGTAGTTAGTAATCCGTTGTCTTTGTGATAAATGCATTTGAGTTTTAGTTAGGTAATGGCTATGTGTTCAATGATTGATAACTTTTACAAAACCAGTCCATACTTATTTTTAAAACCCTAAAACGTCTGTCAAAACTGAACTTCTGTCTTAAATACTTCTTCCAAACTGAACTGAACTTCTTCTTTTCTTAACTACTTCCTTCGAAATGAACTTCTTTTCAAGAATGTAACTCATTCTTTAATACACCCTAAAAACTTATTTATAAAAACCTTCTATCAAAACTTCTAGCTTACGAAAACCTTCTATCAAAACTTGTAAACTTCAAAACTCCTTTGTTCTTAAACTACTTCTATCAAACTTTTTGTTAAACTTCAATCGTAGATACTTCCTTCTTAAAAAATTATTTCTAAATACTTGTATTCTTTCTACAAGTATAACTCATTCCTTAATAAACCCACTTCTTTCGAATATCGCCATGGATTCAAATAACCCTTATAGCCACACTGAAGGTTTTGTTAACGTGTTAACTAGTCAGCTAGTTAACGAGGTTAACACACCTACTATCGATCTAGGATCATCAGAACTCCTTATGTTTAGTACACAGGGGTATGATGATCCAAATCTAGGTGGCAAGAATCAGGCCGAGAGAAGAAAATGGTCACCTAAGGAAGATCTGGTTCTGATCAGCGCCTGGTTGAATTCAAACAAGGATCCGGTAGTTGGTACAGACCAGAAAACTGCAGTGTCTTCGAAACGGATCGTGACCTACTTCAACTCATCTCCGCAGCTTGTCGGTCAGGCGAGAAGAGAAGTCAGCACTTGCAAACAACGGTGGGGGAGAATAAATGATCATATGTGTAAGTTTTCTGGTAGTTATGAAGCCGCAGTGAAAGAGAAGACCAGTGGCCAAAACGAAAACGATGTCATGCAAGCTCTTCATGACATCTTTTACAAAGACTATAAGATGAAGTTTACCCTTGAGCATGCGTGGAGAGAGTTGTGTTTTGATCAGAAGTGGTGCAAGACATCATCTGCTAAAGATAACAACAAAAGAAGGAAGTGTGAGGAAGGCTCGGCTCAGTCATTAACCTCCCAATCCGATTGCAATGGCGATGATATCTCTGAGGTTCGACTGCAGGGTATAAAAGCTGGAAATGCTAAAGCGAAGATGTCAAACGGTGTAAAGGAAGAAGGCAAGGGCTTATCGGAGTTACAAAGCCTGTGGGGCATCAAGAAACAAGACTTGGCATTGAAAAACAAGATCTCAGATAAGAGATTGCTTGAGAGCCTCTTAGCTAAGGCCGAGCCACTTTCAGAGATTGAGCTTACCCTAAAGAATAAGCTCCTTAATGAATTGCTCTCGTAAGTAGTGACATATGAAGTTTTTAATATGTTTAATCCTCTTTCAACTTTAAAATGTTGTTTAAGACAGTTTATGAGTTTCTTTGTATGAGGTTTAGTGCTTTTTATTGAAATGAGTAATGTTATTTGGTATTATGGTATGGTTGAATTCGGTTAAATTCTCTGAAATGGTATAACATTCTCTGTTTTGTTTTGGCAGGTCGTATATGATGAACTATGTGGTGGCACTTTCTTATATGTGAAGGGTCAAGATATATCACGGGTTGTATTTTTTTTTTGTAGTTGTATGTGAATTTGTAACACAAAATTCATTTTGTACCCATAGTTTTTGGTTCTAGTTTTTTGGTTTTGGTTTTTTGCACTTTAGATATCACGGGTTTTGGTTTTTTGCCAATGTAGTATCACGGGTTTAGTTTTAGTTTATGGATGGAATATATGTATACTTGTGTAATATCCTAAACCACAGATTCTATTAAAGAAATCGAATACTTGTGCCTATATATATTTGTAAACCAATGCTCATACAATCATCTCCCTCAAAACCTCATATTCTTGCCTTTTCTCCAACTTCTTCAAACCAAACATCAACTCCTTTTTTTCCTAGTCTCCATTAAGCACAAAAAAAACACAAACTATGGCATCATCTTCAAACAAACGGTTTGGATGACTCCTTTGATGACACTTTTGATGAGATATTTGATAAAAAAAATTTGACGAGGCGTTGAACGACGTTGTAGACCGTTATACAAGATCAAAGCAGAAGAAGAAACGCGCTTACATTGAAAGAGAACGTGAACAAGGCCACAACCGCCTATGGAACGACTATTTCTGTGAAAATGCAACATACCCGCTTAATCTTTTTCGTCGCCGTTTGTACGGCACCAATTCGTATAATGGCATACGGTTGTGCGGCTGACGCGGTTAACGAATACCTCCGGCTAGGTGCAAGTACTGCATTGTTATGCTTGGAAAATTTACTGAATGAATAATATATTTGTTCGGAGATGAGTACCTGAGAAGACCCACACCAGAAGATCTTCAACGCCTACTCGATGTTGGAGAGATACGTGGGTTTTCCGGGATTATAGGAAGCATCGATTGTATGCATTAGAAGTGGAAGAATAGTCATACCGCTTGGAAAGGACAATATACATGTGGTTCTGGAAAACCGACAATCGTCTTAGAGGCAGTTGCATCACAAGATCTTTGGATATGGCATGCGTTTTTTGGGCCTACACGTACCTTAAATGATATTAATGTTCTTGATCGTTCACCTGTTTTTGATGACATATTACAAGGTAGAGCTCCAAAAGTGCACTACTGGGTTAATGCTTTAACGGACACGAATATCATTTTCCGTACTACCTCACAGACAGTATTTATCTAAAATGGGCTACTATCATACAATCTATTTCACTTCCTCAAGATCTGAGAGCAACGTTATTTGCTATTTGTCAAGAGTCAGTCCGCAAAGATGTCGAACGTGCTTTTGGAGTTCTGCAAGCTCGATTTACGATTGTCAAAAATCCAGCTCTTTTTTGGGATAAGTACAAAATTGGCAAGATTATGCTAGCGGCTATTATATTGCACAATATGATTGTAGAAGACGAACTAACTAGCTACACTCAGTTTGACATAACAGAATTCGAACAAGGAGAAGGAAGCCGAAATTTAGAAGTGGATATGACTTATTCTACAGATATGCCTTCAAATATCAGCAATATGATCGGCATTCGAAATCAAATCCATGATAAACAAATGCATCAACGTTTAAAAGATGATTTAATCGAGCATGTATGGAACCAATTTGGTGCCCCTCAACATTAGATTTAAAGTTTTTATAATTTCAATCTCAACATTAGATTTAAAGTTTCAATAACTATATTTTGTATGTTTTAAATTTCTGTAATGATTTAAACATTTTTTTATAAGAAATAAATGTTTAAATTAAAAAGAAAATTACTAATTGTTTTTTAAAAAATAAATATTTTATTCCTAAGAATCTGTAAATGGAGTTCACCAATGCATCTCCAAAACGAGCTCAGTTTGTTCACTGTTCATATTTCCAAAAACTAATAATATTTAAATACTAACAACCCTAAATTGAGTATCACCAATGTACATACTTTTATATTTTTTTAAAAAATTCCATAAATAGCACTTTAGACATTTCCAACAAGAGTAATTTTGGACATTTAGGCTTTCCTAAGTATCTACACAACCAAACAAACAAGGTCAATAAATCTTTTTTTTTACTATCTTTATAACCAACAAATTTACAACAAGAGATTAAAAAAAAACCATAAATTGAAAAGCATCATTCATTAATCGGTAATTGGATTGAAGACTTCATATTTTTCTAAAAAAAACAATTCCATATATGTATAGCATTTTAGACGTTTCAAACAAGAGCATTTCGGTCATTTAGGCTTCCCAAAGTATCTACAGAATTTGAAATTGGGACTGCCACTACTCAACCTATACGACGTCGTTTATCATCGGAGTGCACCGATCCCGCCACATTGACATCTCTCACGGCAACGATCGGCCAAAAATCCTAATTTTTATTTTTCCATTTCTTCCCATCCCCAAAACCTCCGAATCCGGTTTTTGAGTGTCAATAGTCGATAATCTTGTGATATTTGATGATGGGCACAATTAAGTTCCCCATTTCTTTATCTGATTCATCTCCTCAAGTTGTCTCTGCTTAAAATTATTCTCCAGTTATTAGCTTTATTTGGAAATCTTAAGAGCACCTCCATCAGGGTTACATAACCCATTTTCTGACACAGTTTCATAGGTAGATGGAATAAAAATAATGTTAAAAGGTGGATTGTACGACGTATTGCTCCAAAGAGGCAGAAGAGATCGTCTCTTACGACGCGTGACAGACATTGATTGGCTGTTGTTATTTTTTTAATTAATTCTGTGTAATTGTTTTCTTTGGGAAAAAAACTTCTTTGAAAAATCTTTTTCTCTTTTGAATCTCTTGAAGCTCTTGGTGGAGGCGATTGTTTTTGCCGTCGCCGGAATCGGAGGAGATAGATCGGCGAGTGACGGAGGAGAATTTGAAAATCGGAAGTGAGTCGAGCACTAAAGGTTGTTGTGTTGCCGGAGAAACTTCCATTGCCGGAGAATCGGCGAGAATCAGAAGGGACGGAGGAGGAGGAAGAAGGAGGAAGAAGGAGGAAGTAAGAGGAAGATGGAGTGAGCGGTGACCACAGCGATTGAGATGAATTGATTTTGATTTTGTTTTGATTGGAGCTTTCTCAAGAGAGAGGAATTAGAAAAAGGATTTGCCCAACTGTTTTGTATTAATGGCGGTGGTGAAGAAGGAGAGGGAAGAAAGGAAGGCACGTGTGAAGAGTGTGAAGAGCCACGTGAGAGAGAAGAAGGAATACACTAATGGAGGACAAAATCACATGAATCTCTATGTTTATTTCTCTAAAAAAATTATTAAATAATTTTTAAGAAACTCATGTTGAGTTATATTAGTGGAGATGCTCTAAGGAACCTTATGATTGTGTAGTATTTTGAGTATATGTTCAGAGAAAAATTTTATCGCTTTTGTAATTGTTCAAGTTTTAAGTGTTGATCTTCTGTTCGAAAAAGGATGGATTTTGTGTCAAGAGATATAATCAGCGGTCTATAAGATCCTCTGATTTCTCAAATCTTGTCTTTCCTTCCCACTAAAGAAATTGCTTCCACATTGATTCTCTCAAAAAGGTGGCGTTTTTTTGGGTCTGTGACAAATCTTGATTTTGATGATTTGGTTTATCTACATTCTGGAGAGGGTAATCAGGCAAGGGATAAGACTTCCACGAGTTTATCGAATTCGTGAATAGAGTATTGGCTTTGCAAGGAAACGACACAATTAACAGATTTTCTCTATTGGTGTGATGTTGATTCAGCTTGTGTCAATAGTTGGATTTTCAATGTGTTGGGACGTGGCGTATCAGATCTTGTTCTAAACTGTATAGTGTGGAGTATCCTTTGCCCTCCAAGCTCTTTTTTAGCAAGACGCTAATTAAGTTGGAATTAGAAGATAGTCTCAGTTGCACTTTTGACAAGGTAGATGTTTTTCTTCCAAAGCTTAAGTCTCTCTATCTTGGTTCACTTGTGTTCGAAGAGAGAGGTGCTGGGATTGCATGTAAGTTTCAGGTTTGAAGACTCAGCAGACGGTGGGTGTGTAACACAGAAGGGACTGGAGCGCGGGAAACATTGTTAGATCAAAATCGGAAGTGATGACGTGGCATGTGAAGATATATGGATCTCGTACAAGAAGATTTAAGGATCTTAACAAGAAGGAAAGAAGATATACACCGAAGAACAAATGGGAGGTGGTATATATTTGGCACGAGTGTACCTGTGTTAGGTTAGCCGTTTTGAGAAAGATAGAAAGGATCATCACAAGAGACTAAGCAAAATAGTTAGGGTTCTTGGTGAGTGATCATTGTTGTAGAAGCACAACCTAGTGTGCAATAGGTTGGGTAGATTAAGGATTGGTCAGTGTCGAATTGCTGAGAGCAAAGTCGTGTAATTCTGATTAGACAGATCTGTCAAGATTGTCTAAGTGATTCTTAATTCAAGAGTATTTGTTTTTGAAGAATATTGTTCTACACATAAATCTCCGTGTCTCAGACTCTTCATTTGGTATCAGAGAAGGTCACCTACGTAGAAAGGCTCTTTCTCAACAGGTTGAGATCCTGGAGAGGACAGGGAGATTTCGAAAGAACTCATTGCTATTCAGAAACCCCTTCTGCTTCGGGCAGACAACTTTGGTCACTGGAAGGCGCGAATGCGACATGTCATCAGAGGCATAGATGAAGATGCATGGACTGCTGTTGAACAAGGATGGACTGCTCCTACAATCGCATCAGAGGATAGTGATGGCAAGAAGATACAGATTCCGAAGCCGAAAAACACCTGGACTGATGATGAAAAGAAGCTGTCCAAGTTCAACTCCAAAGCTATCTCAGCTATCTTCGCCGCAGTTGATATAGATGAGTTTGGGCTCATTCAAGGGTGTGAGTCTGCCAAAGAAGCTTGGGATACCCTTGTAAATCACTTTGAAGGTGATTCAAGTGTGAAAAGGACACAGATTGATCTTCTAGCTTCTGAGTTTGAGAATCTCAAGATGGGTCCCGACGAGTCAGTTGCTAGTTTTACCACAAAGCTCAGTACCATTGCCAATGAAGCTGCTGTTCTTGGGAAGAAATATAAGGACAAGAAACTGGTCAAG